CGTTGAGACAAGACTCCGACTCTATGTCGTGTATTGCAAAGATGTCAACCCATCCACCGAACGTGCTGTGCTAAGATCGCTTGACGATATCGTCGACACAGAGAGAGATGTTGACTGGAAAAGGGGACAGAGTCGCCGATTTTTGCTGAAGGCGGATGGATTTGGTATCAGCTTAACAAACACGACAGGCAAGCAACCGCCCGCAAAGCTTGGATACATGAACCACGCCGAATCTGTGTATTGCATTGCCGGCCAAGTTAACTATTCTTGGAACGAGGGTGCCGAATCAGTTACGTCACGCGTCTCGCCCGGCGAAGGAACCATGTATAACTTGAACAACCACGACAAACACGTGGTGTCTGCAAAGAGTAGTGTATCTCTGTGTATTTTCTACCCACCTCTTCGGGGCGACGAAAATCACAACCATGATGGCGGCTACTCAAGTTATGATGTTTGAATAATGAACTTATTAAAGACACATTAAAGCGGGGGGAGTCGTCACCTGCGCATGCGTCAGGCGGCCATAGCGTGTCATCGTTTACAAACAAACGTCTACCCATGAGTCTTTGCGTTTTTAGCGTGTGTTTTTATCATCGCTTGTGACTCAATTTCTGCGCGTGCGCAGGTGACGACCCTCCCGCTTTAATCAGTGGTTTATCGCAAATACATAAAATCGTTCTATGTATATTCGACTATCGGTCACTTTCTATTTGTTTGGTTAATAAAGTGTATATGTACCAAATGTAGCTAATAAATTACCTCTCAATAATAACAATCTGTTCAATACACTCAGTAGACACAGATAACGTTGAAGATGTTGGTATTTAAGGTACATTCAGATTATAACGTAGCCTCTTTGTGTAACCCCCCCCCCCCAGACAGATACACTGGTAGATATTTTCTGTGAAGTCAACTGAAAAGATATATATCTAGATTCCTTTTGGATAGTACTTCTCAGTTCCTTGTTTAAAAAGACATACCCATAATTGTGTGCCCTATTCTTTAGATATCTCAATAACCAATTATCAGATTTCAATGACACTTGGTACATTGATGATCTCGGATAATGTGCAGACCTGATCAGTTTTGGGTTGAAATCCTTGTATATTGATGACCTAATTTTCATATTCATTAGCTAATTTTAAACATTCTCACTTGTTTCTCAAGTGCAATTTAATAATATTTAATACACAAGGCACATAGATGGCATAGAATAATGCGCAGATTT